ATTACTGCCTAGAAATTAGAAAATTCTTCTAGAATACTCATGAATTCATATTCTGTGTCTGGCATCAGGAGTTCAGAATTTGAGAAGAGTTCCACAATTTTTGCTTCTCAAGGTGTAAAATTAAATAAATAGTTTCTCCTAAGGATTTGGCCTTAATGAAGGAAGACAGGTTTTAAAGCCACAATGAGTTTGAGTGGAGTACCGTTTTTTTACTGTTTTCACAGAAATTTGTAAACACTTGACCTATAGCCCTTATTATAAATGGAGGATAAGGAAATGAAATCCCAGTCATCAAACCCTGAGTAAAAAAGTAGAGACCTGTTTTCACTTCTCGCTGCATATCTGGTTACGTATCCTATACATGCAGTTCCTGCCCAGGTCAAATACCCTGCCCCTTAATACTTACTGTCTTTTATGAATTTGTTTGTATTTATCATTTTTAAGCTCTGTTGGTTTGTAAAGTCATATTCATGTTCTGTGACACCTGCAGAGGTTTTAAGGTGGTCCATTATCATTCCCTTAGCTGGAATGAAGTGAGTGGTCTGAATGTTTTTAATCAGTGTCTGTCCAAAGTAAAAAGGTTAGTGTAAACCACCTCCTGTGTTAGTCACTAAAGCCTCTTCAAGATTTATTTTGGTTTGTGGTTACATTTGACCTCTAATTGCTTTAACACGTCTGGCTGAAAGCTATTTCCCAAATGCTTTTGACTTTAATTCTATTCCATCCATGAAAATAAAGCACATTGCAAAAAACTTTATTACATAGTCTAGAGGAAGAACAGAGAAATTATTTTTCAGAGTGTAATATAACATTTCTGGTGTACATTTACTTATATTTATTACTTTATTGCAGATCTTTCACCAAAATTTTAGTTCTTCTATCATCTGTAAAATATGTGGTTGCCATTTTTATTGTGAATGTTTATAATCAAATGTTACTCAATTGAATTTATTGCTTGGCAATTTGTCTATAACTTATTTCTCCACTTTAATATAACAAACTGTTACATATAAGCTTACGATAGTTTTATAGACAGTTTCTTTTTATAACTTACCACCCTAGAGATGTGTTCCTACGCATCCCCCAAAAAGATTTATATCAGATATAATAGAAATTAAGCTGGTTCTTCTAATTCAAATGTGTTCTCTTTTCTTACTTTATTCTTACCACTTTTATCTATCACGCTTACCTACTCTGCAATGAGTTATAGCAGTACCTAATTGGATTTGCTCATAAATTTTTTAGTCATGAACAATTAATCATAAAAGAAGGTTCTTTCTTTATATTTTAAACTACCCACTCCAAAGTAATTTCTTGTTGATCAGCGTCACCAGCCTATTTCTTACTAAAATATTCCCTTTTCCTTAAGAAGCATATGAAATCCTATGATCTAAACATTGGTGGACTCCATGACACTGAAACAGGAAAAAGCTGTATAATAGTTTCATACTATACTAGGCTGCCTATTTTAATATCTTTATATCGACCAAGATAAATATTTAGATTTGGCACTATTACTAATGACTATTTCTGCAAATAGAGAAAACTTACTTTTCAGACTTTCTTAAAGCCAAGATCTGATTGCATGCCTAATCTATCTATTTTGTAGGGTTAATCTTTCATTACAATGACAATAACTTTTTTTAATTTAATATATAACTATCTCATATAATGTATATAAAAAAATATATATATATTCAATTGTGCTTCAGCACCAAACACTGAAGCATAATGATTCAGTGTGTAAAGCATTCTTATCAGGAAAGTAATCCTATTATGTATTAAAAATATATATACACCATACATCAAAATGATGACAATGAGAAAGTATTCCGGCACTTCTAGTTAAAGTTCCAGTAAGGTTGGAAAAGAAAACATACATCCATCTTCAGTCATCTAACTTAGCCAAGCTAAGTTGATTTGGAGCATCTTAATTGAGTTTCTGTTCTGAACTGCCTGATGGAGAAGTCTCTCCCTGGCCCTGCCCTGCTCCCCAATTACCAACAGAGAGAGGGGCCTAGGGGAAGCAGCTGAGGCTTATCCCTTTAATACTCTAAGTGTTCTTTTAAGTCTAGCAGTTGACTTTTGCAGAAACAACTCTAGTAGTTAAAGTTCAGATATCAGTCATTTTTTTCAGGTGAAGCCTGGTCTGCAATTAAACTGGAATCAAATACAAGTCAGTTAGTTTCTTACCCGCCCCAAAGGACCTGCTCATATAAAATTCAGAGATCACCTTCTTGAAAAGCCTGTTTATCATTCAAAACTAAAGAAATCTGGGAAAGTCTCAACAAATCTTCCACTAAAAATTCAGCAATCATCTTAATTCTTTCAAATTCAGCATTGCACAAATCCTGCTACTGAAACTGGAGGCAAAGTTCCTTACTTTATATGCATACGCAAATTTCAGTATATAGTCTATGTGTGCTGATTAATGTTTACAGAATTTATATATTCTGCAAAAAGAAAATGCTTTTTTTACTAGCACCAAGTTAAAAATTTCAACATGTACTTAAAAGACTAATCCCTTTTGTTACCAAGTAATTATTTTAGCCATATTTAGACTAAAAAGACTGTAATTTATAGTCTGAGCTTTCATGATTCTAAATAGGATATCTCACCTACTACTGATGAAACAAAATTACTTTAAATCTTCTTTAGACAAGTTGTGGTTAATAGCAAGGAGTGACCAACAGAAGTAGACAAGTAGTAGACAAGAATTCCATCCTTCTATCCTGCTAGGACAGACCTTACAAAGGATGTACTTACTAGTCAACCTTGGAAGAACAGAAGAAGGGACATTTGTTTTATTTAAGAACAGTAAAAAACATACAGTACTAAAACATTTATAGTAAATACAAGTAAACAACTGGACTACTGAGAAACAGAATTGTATAAATTGTTTCGGTTGCGAGCAAATGCAAAAGCACTTCTGACGGTATAAAGACAAATTATAAAAGAAGTATCGCTCCTTTAAATCCAAACAAATAGTTATGTGTGAAAAGACAGACTTTTTTCAGATAATGCTTTTAAAAACTGGAAATTTATGAGTGAGAGTTAAAAATCACACACACAGAGGTGTCAGTTTATGTTTTTGAATTGTACTTACCTTTTCCCTCTAATTTTAGTACTAATGTCAGTTCCAGCAGTACTGAGAAAAGAGAATACTGTTCAAATGGAGAACATCCCTGGAACTGAAGCAGATTTTCAACTATATCTAGCACCTTGAAGAAATTTAGGTTATTAAAACTTTGAGCAGTGTATTAATTATGCAGTTCTCATTAGCATGCTTCCCCAGTTTCAATTTTCATATGATTTTAGCTGGTGATGCTTTCTAACTAATAAAGAGTTAATATTCTTAGTTGTTTGAAAGGTGATTTGCAACATTTCAGATGGTATTATGCATTGTTTTCTGTCTTTTGATATATTAATCACAACTGTAGCCCCTTCTGTTGCAAATGTTTGATTTTAAAATTGTCACTTGTCAGCCAGTCCAATAGGCTATTTCAGAACCAATACAGTTTATGCATGGGAAGTTTGATGTTGAAACAATATTTATTTACATTCCCAGAGTGAGATGATGGTTTAATATATTCATGCTGCTATAAAAGACATGCTACAAAGCCTAATCGTATTTTGTGTATATACTATGTGTACAGAGAATCTTGCTTGTATTAAAATAAAAGAAATGAGGTTCTAAGTATCAATTTATAAAACAGTTCTTTGTAAAATGTTACAGTGTTTCGTGAAGCACTATTTAATGAAACATTAACTACTGGTAAACCTCCATGGAAACCACCTTTTCCAAAATTCACAATAATAGTTCCCATCTATTTTATTTATGTTTGCATTTCATAAAGTAGCCTACTTCCCCTCCCAGAGAAACCCTGTTCCTACGCTTGCCGCACTAGGTAAGCAACTCATGTGGGGAAAGATAGAACAGACAGCAGTAAGAGTGAACATATTTGTCATTCATGCACTGACCTGCTGTAAATACAAAAGCAAATGGAGACTTAAAAATGATACTACCCTTCCCCCAACCGTGACTTACTTTCTGCAACCTGTGGCTCTTTCCCAGCAGAAGCTGGCAGATTTTATTGCTGCCATAGCAACCCTGCCGTCAGCCCCGTTGGCTTGGCAACATTGCAGCAGTAAGAAACACACTTCACGTCTGAACTGTTCTTGGACTCGCAGAGATATTTTTTCAGGTTGCATTCCTAAATGCTTATTTACTGTTTGATTTAATAAATTTTGCAATAAAAAATCCTATACAGTCCTTATTTGCCAGTGAAATCAGATCATCTTCCCTGGAATCTTGCAAAGAATTAATATCCATTCCTTGGAACGTCACAGCAGATGATGGATCAAATCTCTGCAGCAGCTTCAACTGATCAAGCGACAGTCCAGCTCCCCTCATGCCTTCTCCTCCAATGTGAGGTTCCTTTTTAAGTAACAAAGAAAAGCAAATTATTGCATCAGTCAAGTTCTTATGTGCCCTAAATGTATTCTGCTGAGTATATGCAGAGCCACCTAACTGTTAACGTGGACAAGCTAGGTTTTTATCATTCACACCAGGAGAGGATTTAGAAGTAATGTGGCCCTTCTTTTCTTGCCCTCACCTGGCCAATATGTATACAAGCCTATATACAAGGTCCAAAGTACTTTGAGGAGGTGGTGGTGCACCTAATCCACTTTAGCCTAGTGGTTTAGAGCACTTATTGAGGACAGGTACACAGCTCTAAATCAATTCATTACTCAAAGGACTGAAACATCGAAAGCTGTTATCACCAGACAATAAGAAGGTCTAAAGGTTTTTTAGGTTGCCACTTTCAAATGATGCAGTGCTTCTGTGTACTGACTAATAGCTGTGAGTTAAGTCAAAAAATAGCGATTCCTTAGCCAGTTACTAATATACTCAGTAACAGCAGTAAAAATACCTGGATTCTTCACATTAAAAACTCCAACTGGAAAGACTCAAAGCCCCAGTCCAGGATACGTTACTGCCTGAAAAGGCATAATTTTGGAAGATGATGCAGCAGAAAAATCTGAGCTTCGGATTTTCTGTGTCATGTAATTAGACTAACAGGTAGATGGGACTACTGTTACATGTGTATGTATATGAGGCAGAGAAAGAAAGGAACAGCTTGTGTATCTGAATTCAGGAGACATTTGGCATCAAACTTCTGGACAGGAGAAGGGCTTAAAATCACAGCCCTTTTCTCAGCATTTCTTGTGAGTAGCCTTGACTGCTTTCTATTTAATACACTGATTCCTGGAAAAAAAATAATTCTTAGCTGGATTGTTCTTTCAGTTCATTCAGTAAGCAGATAGAACAAAATGTGCAAAAGCTGACATTGCAATATCAAAAATAGAGCTCCTTTGTAAATCTAGTCTAGTGTAGTCTAGAATGCAGCCTACAGCAGAGAATTTTTTGAGCCATCACACTTTGCTAATACATGAGCTCACCCAGTCATCACATGATGCAACTTAGTTGCTTAACCATGTACTGTGTGCTGTAAAGCTGGGCAGCCAAGAGGTTGCAGCCTGATTCTTCTCTTCCTTTCTTTCCCTCAGCAGGATTTCAGTGCTTTCCAGGTAAGAGACAAAAATGAGGTGTCCATTGCAAACTGAGAAAAAATAACATACCAAGGGAGACAGGGGTACCAACTTGAAGTAATATAATAGAAGGATGGAAAGGTAAAAGTCTAGGGAAAACAATATTACACAGGGTCAAGCGACTTGCTCAAAGACAGACCAATTTCTTCCTCTACCTTTTCCTTTTTCCTTTCAGTTAAGTTACTGCATTTAAGCTGATATACAGTATCTCCTGTGTAAACCCCTAAGAGGAAGTAAGTCTGCACAGACAAAGGATCAGCTGCTGTGCAGTAACCTCCACCTACAAGATCAACGCCTATGGCTCCATCTCCTGTTTTTTCCTTACCCAATATGATTCCAGGATCTCTTGCCAAACTGAGAAAGTAGGAGACAGTGGACTGGGTATATAAGGAGATGTCCACTGAGAGACTAAAGAATATGGGAAATACATAAAGGAACATGAGGTAAGTTGACCCTAGACTCCAGTTTCCTGTTGATGATTGGAAAAGATCACCTTAGTTTACACTACTGGGGAACTGGTTATAAGATACTATAAACTATCTGTGGGTAAACAACTCAGTGGCATCTCATTTAAAATATACAAAAAAATCTTAATTTTTACAGATATGGCATTTGTGTGTGAAAACTAGCGCGTTATTCAAGACTGATTACTGGTGAGAGAACGTCGATTAAACCAGAATTAATCTTGCATTTGAGTTAATAGGGCTTGTGTTTTGCTTTGTCATTCTATTGAGGACAATTTTTGTGCTGTTGGTAAAATGTATAATCTCAGTTGAAACAGGCGGAACTGAAAAATTCCTAGTAAATGGATGGTGACAAAGCAGGCAGAAGAACCTTGACATACAAATCTTTCAAGAAAAGCTTCAGTTCTGTTAAATCTTTATCAGCCTTCATATAATTTCTTGTTGTACACCTATGTATATATTTTTTTAATTTCAGCTAAAAGATGCATCTAAACCTCTTACGGCAGATAAAAGTCATCACAGAATGTATAACTAAGCTAAACAGGTATCAGAGACTCTTCCTCAAAGCCATGATGATAAACAACTAACCCACCCAACTCATCGCATCAACAAAGAGGAAGAGAGACGCATACAGTCTGATGATAAACTCTCTCAAGGTAGAATAAAGGTAACAGATACTTTTTAAATGTATGCAGTATAGATAGATACTAGAATTTTTTATCTCCTTATAGATTACGTCCTCCCAGACGTCTTAATGGTAGACACTGACTCCAGAAAAGACAAGGTATATTCTTGGGACACTGAGCCCAAAATAAATTTGTTCTCTCATTCCTTTACATAACGCAAAAATAGCTCCCATACATATAAAATCCTCCTTCCTCAAAACACAAGGTTCTTTCCATTCGTGTCCCATCCTTTACACAAATCTTCACTACTTTAGTGGCATTAATAAAAAAATTTTCACCTCTCCTGTGAATGTGTAAAAAAAGAGAATAAAATATATGCATTAAGAACAACTGCAAGAGAAATTTTAACCTGAACTATCTTTTGTCCCTGTTGTGTTTTAAATGACTGCTGTACAAATCAAAACAACCACAGTACACAGTGGGAAACTACTTATCGATCCCTAAATGAAGCTCAATTAAACATGAAAATAGATTTAAAAGAGCCTTAGAAATTCTTGTGTTATTTCTATCCACAGCAGTTAAAATTGTCTGCAGTGAAAAAGAGATTTCTTGATAGTAAATATAATGTGTAAATTTACAGTGCTAAAACAAGCTCACTGGATTGTGTGAATTACCCTGAAAATACTATCACCTGTGGCTGAAGCTGGAGGCATGGAAAAGTTTTCAGGGCCCAAGCAACTTGCTCCTCATTTTCAGAGAGTGTAATCGTGCATGTACTATATGCTAAAACACCTCCTGGCTTCAGCAGTTTCACTGCCTGCAGGGAGAAATAAACAGTAGTTCAGCTTATTTTTAAATGCAAAAACTTTCATATTAAGCAACATTAACCAAGAAACCATTAAGCTGTAATATTAAAACTTAGCACTTGAACTCAAATCTTTCTAAGATAGGCATTAGGATAATGCCTAATTCTCAGGGAATACAGTAAAGGATCCCATGGATTAGAAATATTCTTCTTTCCAAATCATCATTATAGCTCATGCAGTTTATTAATGCCATTGAGATGATTCACCTTGTAAGATTTGTTATTTGTACAGCTCTGCATATCCCAGACAGAATAGTTCTGTTTTCATCACCTGCTGCCAACCACAGATACACAATATTTTTTTCAGTGATATCAGATGTCAACTGTTTCCACATATTTGGCCTGGAAGCTATAGCTGTGCTGCTTTTCAAGCTGTGGTTGACTTTGAATACATATAATTCAGATTTAGACAAGTTTCATGAAATTTTGCATTTTAGCATCAACCTAAGCATACTCCTACTAGCATGAAAAGTTGTAATATGGCCTCCTGGCTTTGTACTCCATCCCGTATCCCATACTGTACCTCACAGCACCACTGCATGGGAGTTCTATGTGGTGAACTTACAAGAGTCTGTGCTGCTGCAGAGAAAAGACTTTAACCTGCTCTGTAACTTAGACCCTTGTGATTATTATAAATTACAACTGATGAAACTGAAGGAATAGAAAAAACACATACAAAGGTTTTTATTTACTATGGCTTACATATACCTTTCCCATGCTCCAATGAATTGACTTCACCTAGCAACAAATACAGTGGAGCTGAGAGGTTAACTGAATGCTAATACTACCTTCTTAACTGCTGAAAAGGTAGGGAAAATGAGGCACCATTTTTCACTGTGAAGTTCTATGCTGCAAAAGCATTTATGTTCAATTTATCTTATCTACGCAATGATTAATACGTACCACAGTGAAAAGCTTGCGCTGTAGAGGCTGATAAGAAGTCACCTCCTTTAATGTCAAGGAATAAGCCATATTTGGTCTCTGTCCCATCCCACTACATGGAGCATCAAGAAGAATTCTATCAAATGACTCTGGTAAGAATGGAGGTCCTTCTGTAAAAAGCAGTTAGTAATGTAAAATGTGGCTGTTGCTTTCCTTCACCATAGATAAGGACAAGCTATTACTGCTTCCTGGACATAAAACATTTACGTTCTATAGATAGTGTCTGCAAAAGTAATATCAGCTAGAGACAAGTCTCAGCACTGCTGGTGGTAGATTTCATCTCCCAGAAAACTAAAGAGTTTTAGTTCTGTAGGCTCAAATAATACATGATCCCTTCAGGCAATAATATTTTTTTAACTTTAATAATTTGAAAGTAAAATGTAAAAGTAATCAAATAAAAATATTGAAATATGATTGGTCAGAGGTGTGGGTACAGAGTTGTACATATAGGCTTTAATAAACCACAGTCAGCCCATAACTGAACCAAGTGTGCAAATCTTTACTGAGAAGCCTGTAGTTAACCGTTATGACTGCCTTAAATAATAATAATTGGACTGTCTATATAACTATTTCTTGCGATGCATATATATCTGTAGAGAATAAAGCACTTCATAGTAACATGAAATACTACAAGCTCTAATGTGTGACACACGCTGTCTCCACAGCAGAACAATTCAGTAGACAAGGACTGTGAAGACAAGAACAATTTCTGAATATTACCTGGATAGATAAAGGAATATGTAACTTCTATATGCAGAACCTATCCTTTCATCTGAATTCCACTGGCTCAACAGCCCAAAAGTTTCTATCACCTTAGTGCTAGAGCGACTCTTCAGCTCAGCATCAGCAAGACATAAGTGGCTCCATACGTGTATCTGTGGGTAACCAATGAGGAAGAGAGCTATATATATGCTTTACCTCCTTTTCCCCTTCTGTTCCTCAAATATTCAAGTTAGGTCACAAGTGAAAACAAGTGAGTGACTTCATACTACTGCTACCTAGCTTGTTGCAGCACTACAAAATGAGTCTATCTGATTTATCTACCTCTGATCCATTACTACAGTGTTCAAAATATGTAATTTCTTACTTGCAGAGATGTACAGAAAAGCCTTCATGATCTCTCAGTATTACAGCTAGCTCTTGTTCATCTGTGTAAGTACTACATATGACCTACAATATTTTATGTTCATATAAAGACTATTAAGAAAGTACCTTTATTCCTCCAAAGCAGGAATAACTAACTGCAAGGCATAGGGACAAGGAAGGTGAATTATGCAACCTGATTCCTACTTATGCTAACCAGTGACTGGGATAGAATAGAGTGAGAAAGAACAGCATACTTTGCACAACAAACCAAAAATAATCAAGACAGCAGATACCGTTTAAATCATTCCATCATGGGAACAGAACCAGTATCATAAATACAGCACTTCAGAAAAGCAAATGAAATGAACTTAAAATAATACACTGTGCTTCTATAGAACTTTCCCCTGAACAGCTGAACAAACATCAATGAACTAAACCTTGCAGCACTCCTGGGAGTTAGGTATTAATAACCCCATTTTACAGATGAGGATTCTGAGGCAGAAAAGCCAAACAATTCTGCAAAAAAAATATTTTTCTCAGACTAAGTCAAACAGTTCAGAGTATGGGGTTAAACGTTATCATGGAAGAAGCCTTAAGGCTTCAGTCTTTGATATTATCTGGGAAAGGTATGCATTTCCTTTGAGCATATTAGGTTGTGATAAGGACAGATAGTTTGATAGTATTTGCTTCACAGAGAAGCTGATTATCACAAAAGAACAGAAAATAAGAGCATTCACAGTGCTGAAGCAACTTTGGTATCTGCCAAGATTTCAAGGACTTGTAGACCTGTGGCAGGTTTAATACTGTTAGTGCAAACCTGATTACTGTTTTCATCTAAAAGCTACTACTGCCCAAGTTGTTTACTTTACCTTGTTCATCCTCTCTCTTCTCAGCTGAAAGTGCCTTTGTTCCATCATAGCAAAAGGCCTTAATGCAATTCAGCTGTAGCAATTCAGCATTCTGCTTAATTTTTTTGACCTTGTTAGCTATCTTGTCCATAGCTATTACTTCACCCTGAAAAAAATGGGAAGTTTTTATCAAAAGCATAGGGATTAAATGGATGTGCAGTTCCTGATTTCTTCCCACTGCCATGAGCAGCGCAATGAATGAGGCTTAGTTTTCCCTGCAGAATTTTGTTGTTATTAAATCCACACTCCAGTAGTCCTTGTTCACCAATATGTTCCATGATACCCGCATTAGGCTAGATACTAGTCTGAAGCTGTGTGCATTCTGACTGGCACTAGCTGCTTGGCACAGTCACTCCCTGAGGGACCCTATAATGTCTGACTTCTGGCAAGTGGGTTTTTTGTTAGTTTCTTTTTGTTTGTTTTGAACTGTTTCACTGGGCACTAAGTTAGGTAAAAATGTAATCATTTGAAAGAGGGTAGAAGTCTCAAATACATGGTAAAATAGGTCAACAGGTTTTAAATTTGCATGGAGATGGTAGGAAACATGATCACATACAGCTCAGTCCTGAGGAGATGAGGCCCACAGCAACACCTCTGGCTTGCTCAGACTCATAGCATACTGTTATACTTGCAGTAGTTGTCACTCAAGTTACTTTAGGAAATACTGTAAATACTATAATAAATTTAGATGTGGGGGGAGGGGAATCACAATTACATATTATTCCTTTCATGTGAGAATAAGATTTCTCTATTCCTCTCCCAAGATAAATCAAAACAGACACACACCACTATCTGCTAGATGAAATCTCTAAACACAAAGGAAAGTAAACAGTAGCATCAGTAAAATCCAGAACAGTAATACTATCTTCAAAAAACCCCAAAGACCAAAACCCTGTAATAGACTTGCTATAGCAAATAGAGCCTGCTGAGAAAACATGACAACTTTTTCCTACTTGGTGATGGCTCCCTAGAGGCTTATGGAAGGGTAACATGACTAATATAGACAGTGTAAAAAAAACCAAACCAAACTTCAGTAAAAATAAGCTATTGACTGTATGTCATGTTAGCCAATATGTAGGCCTAGGACTGAGAAGTAGAAAAGGATTTATGTTGTGTCAATGGTGTCCAGCCTTCAACTACTGTGAGCCAAATCACCTCTTACAGGAGCACTCAGTGACCACACGCCACTGCTTCTCCCCTATCACCATTCAACCTATTACGCATGCACACTAACAACTGATTGTGCTTGCAGGTTAGGTCTGTTGCTGAAACAGTGGATTTGCTGCACATATGCTGTACTTGAATATAAAGAGATAAGTCCTCTCCTGAGAGACTCTCAGAAAAAAGAACAAGCTGGAAGACAACAGTTCTTACCCATTAGCCCATGCCAGCCACTGCCAGAAAAACTTCCTTAAAGACATCTGGAAAAAACGGTGGTCTGGACTGGGATCCAGAATAAACTCTGAAGCTTTAACTATTCCCAGTTCCTACTAAAAGCTCTTAACAATATGGAGTAATTTTACATTTCGATTATCTCATCTAAAAACAATATAATAATTTTTACAATTAAATCACAAAAAATATAAGATTGATTCAAATATTCTAAATGTTAATGATTTAATTACTGTCTGTGGAAATTTAGTATGGAAAATCTGTGAATGGAACTTAAGAACCAAAAAGCAGTGCAAATTTTTTCCATATCTTAAATTAAAATTATATACTTAGAAAAGGAAAACCAATTCAGATAAATTTCAACATCTGTATTCTTAATCTTTACCACTTCAGCTGGAGTGGTATCAAAATATCTAAAATGACTAAGGGCAAAAAAACAGTTATGCAAAGTTATACAAAATGTACATACACAGATCGAAAAAGTACAGATGTAAATGAATCCATGATAGAAATATATGCTTTTACAGACTTCCTTTATTTATCACACCAGAATTCTTTACTGGAAGCTTTATAAATCTATCTAATAAGTGTCTAATGACTCTCTAATGCATGTTTGCAAACTTTCCATACTGAAGGAAGAAACACTTCAATAAGCAAACCATCACAGAACTGAATACATCTTTTCTAAATACATTCAAATCATTACCCACTGTACCTTCCCATTAATGCACAGACAACCATTGAAGTACTGCATAACGAAAGTGCAGTTTCTAAATGATCTGATATATTCTAATAACCCTATTCCAATGAAAATAATAACACCTTACAAAATTTTTAGAAGCGACATTACACATTTTTCCCCTCTCTGCTAGAAAAGAGCAACCTGCATTTCTCTTTCATTTTACATATAGCAATTTAATATATGCAAATTGTTATTCCTATATCCACATTCTTTTTGGCTCGTGTGTTATTTTCCTTTGTCTTTCTCTAAATTATTTTTTTTTGTTTCTTATAATGTTACTTTCTTATGAGATATTTTTGGTGTTGTGACCTTCTACCTTAGAATGACAAACGCAGACTAGAAATTCAGTCTAAGATCATATTTGTACCACATAATTGATAATTTTTACTGAGAAGGAATTTAATTGGATTAGGAACTTCTTAATATGTTTTTGTACAGAGTTGTGCATTCTTTTGGAACACAGTTGTAACCTCTGCTTTCCATGTATTCTCAGTTCCTACATAACTTTACCTTGCATGTTATGAATTCTTCCATTACAAATACATCAGTAACATTCAAAAAGTGAAATCGAACACATTTCAACAGGTCAATTTGCAGCAAATAAGTTTTTAAATGTGATGGTGACTATTTGATAAAGATAGTCTGTGCCCATTTCAGTAACTCTGATGTGTGGCAAAACATATTGGTAAGCAGAACGTTCAAATATTAATTGTCTGCTGTTGTAAATTATCTGTGCATTCTGACAGCTAAGTGAAGTGAGCTGTGCAAATGAACAGTGGCCAGGCTTTCTTCACTGAGACAGAAAATGCTCAATGACTACTCTTACCTGGTCATGCATTAATGTTGCAAGATGGGTTGTTTTCCCTCCAGGTGCAGCACACATATCCAAAATTCTCTCTCCTGGCTGAGGGTTTAAAATATGGCTCACAACCACGGAAGGCAAGTTCTATCATAAACACAAATATGGGAGAATTCAAACCTTATGTTCTGTATTAAGGAATGACAAACTCATTGAAACAAAAATTCATTTAGCAGTGAAGATACCTATGATATGGCTGTCAGTTCCTTAACAGAAAATGAACTGTTGGGATTATATAAAAGAGACAGTATAGGTCAAAAGTCTCCAGTGGCTCCTTTTTTATTTAAAGCTGTATATAGAGTATCTATGACTGAAGTTTAAGTGTTTATGACTATGGAGACTACAGTGCCAAAAGTCAAAATAAAATAAGCTGATACTATTACAGACACAGAGCAGCTCTGTGTATTACAAGTATTATATATCGACCTGTTTATTGGAGCATTTACTATATGAACATGCTGATGTAGTATAGTAATGAACAGTAAGAACAATAGGCAGGAGTTTAAACTTGCTGAATTAAGGTACCAAGAAGCTGAACTGTGCTATTAATTGTATAAAGAGAACAGATGCACTGAAGAAAAATAATATGCAATAATTGTGCACTGTAGTGCATCTTACACAACATGGAAATATCCTGAAAGATTCTCTTCTAATTTGGTTCAACACAAAGGTATAAAAATCTTTTAAAGTTGTCCTTACTACATGTTGTCTTTGGATAGCACAGTTTCGAGTTCCATGCCACAGTGTTCAAAAAAATGAATAATTCATCTCACACATGGCAAATTCAAGTCAAAAAAGCCAGGCTCAAAGGGTTGTGATCAGCATCACAAAGTCCAGCTGGAGGCCAGTCAATAGTGGAGTACCCCATGGGTGGACACTGGCACCAACGTTGTCTAACCTCTTCCTTAGGGACCTGGATAATGGAACAGAGTGCCTAAACAAGTTCACAGGGGATACAAAACTGGAAAGAGTGGTTGATAAAGTGGAAGGTTGTGCTGCCATTCAGAGGGACCTGAACAGGCTGGAGAAATGGAGAAACAGAAACCTCATGAAGCTTAACAAACAGAAATGCTAACCCCTGCACCTGGTGCACCCCATGCACCAATACAGGCTGGGGCTGACTGGCTGGAAGGCAACTTGGCAGAGAAGGCCATGGGGATCCTGGTGGACAAGAAGTTGAACATGATCTAAATTCTCATGTGCAACAGTCTCTTAAATAACCTGTCTCTCTAACAATTCTGTTCCTTGAAAGCAAGTACTCTCATAAGCTGAATCAGGGAAGAAAAGGCCTGTTCTTTACTGCAGGCCATGAGACAATATATTGCTTGATAAACTATGGTTTGCCCACACCGGAAGACAGCACTGATGCTGATTTTAAAATATTAAGATCAATTACAGACAGATTATATGCATAAAAATAACTCATCTGCTGGACTGACTCTTCTGACAAAAGAAATAGTGACTAAGACAATTCAATGTAATAAAGGATTTAACTTACTATCTGAGTGATAGTTATATGAATCAAATGAGATAACTTAGAATTTCAGAGAATATCTTTGAACAAAGGTTTATTTGACGTAAAATTTACATTCACTTTAGAGATTAAAATAACTTTTTTTTTGAAGGCTGAACAGCTTGATTTTGTTTTAAACTCTGCTTCTAAATTGTCATATTTATATTAAAAAAAATACAGTACCATTGTTAGCACACTAGTTGTCATAGGTATCTAACTGAGGTGTTCACCTAATCTTTTTGTGCCATCAAACTGAAATCAAGAATTTTACCTGATCTAAGAAAACTAGAAAGTTCCATGATTTCATTATCCTATTTTTCAACATATCACAGGTGGCCACTTGTCATGTCTGACTATTGCTTTTAATTAGTTTTATTGTGGAGGAAAAGGAGTATAGGTATCACAGAAATTAAAGATGCAAAAGGAGAAGCTAGCTTTAAATAAGTTCTTAAATTTTACAATAAAAACTACACAAAAATTTGTCATTCTTCGGAAGCTCTGGAGTTTTATGGTAAGAGGCAGTGAAAGCTGTGCTACCGTAAGATTTGTCATGGTTATTTTGTTCAGGTGGATCTTTTTCATTAGGGCTAAAAAGATACAGGTTTTCTCTTCAACTTAAAGTCAACCTACTACTATTTGGAGACTTTCCTGATTATCCACAGAAGGATGAACCCTGAAAGAGGCTCATATTTCAGAGTTCATAGGCATATTCCAAAAACTAAAAGTTCTATGCAGACTATCTATGCAAAAAGAATTTCTAAGTTTTTAAGTTAATATCTTTTAAGTTACTTTGAAGTCCCTTATCATATCTCAGATGCAGTATGATTAAACCACCTACATGTAGATACCAACTTCATTCTAAACACCTTTTCTTTAAATCCAAAGAGTGAATTAGGTGCCATAATACACAATGAATAGATAAAGTATTAATGTGTGCTTAGAAGATATTCATTATTTTGCAAATAGTACAGACTTATTTTTGTAACAAACATACCTGCAAAAACAAATGACCGGGGAGCACATTGTCAAACGAAGGACTAAGGTAGACTGGCTCTATCATTCTTATGCCCATCCCACTGAAAAACATGAAAAAAAACATTTCAACTACTCAGATTTATAATTTTTAACAGTGTTCAGTTAAAATCATTATGCTTAAAAATGGAAACTTGAAACAATAACCTTACAAAAATGAAAGCACTTACAAATCAACCAAGAAAAAATATTTTTACAATTCTGTAATCTGATATTCTTTAAAAGTACATCATTAAGCTGGGTAAACCATAACAAAAAATGTATTACATTATAAATTGGAACTATCTGTAAAAATTGCATAAAGAAAATTTACCTTTTTTGTATACAAGACAAACTGAGATCTAATGCAAGCCTTGATAATGTAAGGAAATGCTTAAAACCAGATTTAAATATGTTAATTTCAATCCATAACTGCTTTTGGCTAGCCATGTACACACTAGGGCACTGGCATATGATTTCCTACTTTGATCTTCCTCCATTTTTCTAGACTGTCTGAGATTTCAGTCAAATAACTAAAGAAATTCTATTTCAAAAGCCTCACAGGAACATTGATTTGCCTGCAAAGTGAAGGTTTGAACTTAGAAGCATCCTAAAAGTTTTAAATATGAAGTTCTGACACAGATTTCATTAAGTTAAGACAAATGTACAAAGAAATGGATAACAATAAAACAAGAAAAAACAATACTGAGCCTGAATACAATAGATTACTGAAGAAAACAAGAATGAGTATTATTTTGCATATGCACTGCACAGTCCAACAAGAAGGAAGGATATGAGAAAGGAAACTTGCAGACATGAGACTTAATGCTGCATACTGCCATTCCATGTCATCAACTCAACAGGTATATCCTACCAATACTTCTACTATATTTAAGCTCTAATAAATCAGAAATCCTCTGACAATGTAATATTTTTGACTAGACCTTTTGTAGTTTGTTCTTGGGATGTAGTCTCGGTCATTATTTTGATGTTCATGCTCTCTTACACTGCTTTTTACATGTGTTTTAGATGACAGAAGAGGAACCATATGCTTTGGCAACAAAATAGAAAAGCAAGTAATCTTGAAATAGATAACTACCTTGGCAAATACTATTAATTTTTTTTAAGATATCTGACCTTATGTTCTGTCCCCTGCCCCACCAAAAAAGGCCCCTACAAATATTTTTATGAGATGGAGAAATCGACAAGGCTGCACTTCTGTTCCATGCAGATAGGAAAGTGGTACAGAAAAATTTACCAAAATGCAGTTTTACCACAGTGAGAATGTTTGTCACTTCTGTTTGTTCTATATTATTGAAGGCATATGCTAAACAAAAATTCTGAAGAGGCTCCCATTTATTTCCTCCTACCACTCAAGTAAACTGGTATCTGGATACCTCTGTGAAACTAAATGTTGAGTCTGCTAATACTTACTGTAGTACTTTAATCATAATTGCCATCACACTGCTGCTACCTTAGCTGTGAAGTTACAGAAGACAGCAGGAGGCACAATTCTACTATATTCCCAGAAACTAACGCTTCCCAAAAAATACTGGAAATCCCAACATGCAACAGAGGTCTCAGTCAAAGCTATCTTGTGGTTTCACATAGGGTACAGAACATTTCAAAATGTCTTCCCATCTTCTCTCGTCCCTTTGCAAAGTTGTAGGTATAGATTGCAGTTACTATGGACTTACTTCAATGGGCCACTTGAACTAAAGATTTCACTGCGACTCACTTCTGAAATCCCATTTCCAAGGAAAACTTTGACTCCTTCAAATTCTTTGGCTCCTCTTTTACATTTCCCTTCAATATCTGAATATACTGAGACCAGATCACCAGCTTTCATAACTGCGCAAAGAACAGAAATTTTGAGATTAATGTTATACTTGACAAGACAGTAGTGACCAAATAATTTAGGATTTTCAGTAGAATACTTACTTGAACTCCTATATCATAGCAAAACTTAAACTTTCTTAATGTAATCAGAGAAGATTAACTGATATTAGGCTTGAAAGTGTACATGGCGAACGATGGCTATGAAGTGACTAGAGCTATTGGGAGACACAAGGTTACAAATCAGACAGCGTGTCTTGTTTTTTAAAAGGCTAGACAAATCCTCACTTTATTTTATCACTGCATGATCACCTGTAAGTTTTAAGCGCACTCTTCAGGATTCAGTCCTCTGTGTGTGCTCCAAGCACGCAAATACATCAAATGACACTGGTTCATACTTACTGTACAAAGACAGCAATACTAAATTTGTCTAATGACCTCTCAATAGCTAGGTAGAACATAGCTATTGCTACTTTTTCTCTAACTATTCCTTTGACACAAGTGATGATATATTCTTGTTGAAACAATTTTTCTGGTGTGGCTCTCCTCCCTCAAAGGCAACTCCTATTGTCAGTAATTCTCTAAAAGAGCTTTACATCTCCAGTTAAAACCCTCCAGATCAGTAAAGTATGTAAATACACAACAAACTCTAGAAGTGTAGTCTTAGGGATATAAAAAACTTTCTGAGCTAGAACAAAAATAGATGGAAAAGGAGGATGGTTTAGGTGATTTTGCAGGATAGTGAGCAAGCTCTATGCACTGACTGGCTGAAAAATATGCTCAAAAATAAAGGCCTACGCTGACAGCAATAACCAATTTTCCAAAATTACATTTCTGACGTGTCTGACTGGCTGGAGCAACTGGCAGATATGACAAGTAAGACTAATGACAGTTCAGCTTCCCAAGAATTCTTTGAATTGTATTTAGAAATCTTTTTTCCCATTTTCAAGTGGCCTTCTGAATATGCACAAATGCCCTGGGATTCTTAAATGGTAATATTTGTTCGGTAGCCACTAAACATTTCTTTTTTTGTATAGCTTCTTTTTACACAATGTGACACAAAACATTATGTGATAGCCTACTGTTATTGTCTGCTTAAACTTCACTGAACAAAAACTTGCAGCAATTTAACTCTTCCATCAAGCATATTTGCCAATGATTTTTTGCAGTATTCAAACATAAGGGATTTTATTACACTCTCTGCTGACAATCATCCTTTCAAAATGCATTAGTACTGTGTACAGGTCTCAAGCTTTTTGTAGCTTATACTGGCATTCCATAAACATAAAGCTTAGAGTTTGATTAGATAAATTAAACTCAAAGCCCCCTGATAATTAGTTTATCCTCATTTAGGTTGCAAGTTCAGTGATTAAATGTGTGTTTTTGCTGTACTCTTTTTTTCCCTAGTTAGACCATCTGTGCTTAATACAGCCTTATTATATTTGGCCTCAAGTGGGTAGCATGCCCTTTTATTTTATTTTACTATCTGCAATTCCCCTGAAGTATTCCTAAACTTTTATAGTATCTTTTATTTTCTTTGGATTGATATTGCACACATAATTACATGCAGCAATTATGATAAATCACTAGTTGACTCAAAGAGGGATTTGAATATTTATGAGGTTGTCTAAATAAGCAGTTTCAACAACTGCTATGGCAATATACTTATTTCATTATCAAATCCTTGATTGAAAAACATTCCTGTTCAGTGAATGGGAAGGTTTTTTCCTGAAAGGCAATGAAGTTAAGTGTCTAGATAAATGCTTTCCTGACTCACTTTGTTTAATAATAAGAACCATGATGATTAGTAGATCTGAGGTGATTCAACCAAAATTATACTGGTTTCACATAAAGTTAATTTGGCCTTTAAATAAAAAATAAATAGGCTGCTGAACACTAAGCATGTATATCTAGATATTTTTATCTTGTCTCACAAGCACTGAAACAAAAATTTTCATTTCTTAAGAATCTGACATTTACATTGAAGATTTTTCTCATCAATAGAAAAAAACCTTTTTACTAGATCTCTCATGTACAAACAATATCAAATGATTTGCCAATGGATTAAAAAAAAAAAGAAAAACCATTTTTTTAGATCTGTAACTTAGAATCTGACAGGATCATGAAGGCAAGTGCCTTTGTGATTGAATGAAGAAATAACACATCTGGAAATAGTATATATTAAATAATCACATACATCCAGTCACCATCCAGATGTATCTGTTGTGGCATTCCTTTTATTCTTTTTTTTTTTTGTGTGTGTGTGACAAGACTGGAAAGTGGCAAACTTCTGTGAGTTTATTCTACTGAACATCCATATTAAAAGTTACAGTATTCAGTAGTAAATAAACTCTTAAAAAGCCAGGTTTTACTTTGAACATGCTCTTTAAAAAGATTTTCAAATGAAAACAAGAAACTGAAATCCTTGAGAACTAATACTTCATCTAGGAATTACAAATGGAAAAAGGAACTTAAAACAGGCCAGGTGAGAAATAATTACATACAATTTATCACAAGTATAATGCAAAAAATAGTGGAAATCTCAAAACAAAGCCAGAAAAACTTTAAAAAACGTATTTACCATAAATTACAACTATAAGCTTAATTTCAGCTGTAAATAGAAAAAAAAAAATTAATGTCACTGTTTATCAGAAATTGTCATCAAAGGGTGGCATTTTTTCCGTCCTCTTTACAACTTAACTGGGTGTATTTAGAGAAGTCTTACATCTTGAGGTAGATATGATTCCAGGGACATAAACATGTGCTCCTCGAAGTACTGCATATCCACAGTGGGCTCCAACAATGACTTCAGATGAATGTTTTTTTAAATCTCGCCTAAAAATACAAAACGTTGCTCAGTTTTAAAAAAAAAAAAAGTATACTGAAAAAAACCAAACAACCCCCAGGTGAAGTCTAGTTCATAAATACTGTTTTTGTCACAATGTAACAGAAAAAATAGTTAACTATCATGTATTACATTTAAAAGATTTCTTTTAGTTCCAGAGGAATCAAAGAAAAGAATCAAGAAGGAAACCAGTCCTCAAAATAAAGCAGGTTGTGACACATTCTGCCACTATTATGAACCTGACAGAGGAATACAAATAAATTATACTTGGATGGAGAAATAATCCTCTATCCCTTTCTAGGCCAGATGATTGTAAAGTGATTTTTTGTGTTTAACAATTGCCAAGTACTTCTATAATAAATGTATAAGCAGGTGCAAGGAACTTTGCCAGTAAGAATTGTGAAGATGACAGTTACTTGAACTTATTAAAGTGTAAACATATTTTAATACAAAAAGAACAGAATGTTCAGAAAAAGGTGCTACAAAAGAGAATTAAATGAATGAATGAAGAATAAATAAAAGCATTAAATGCTATTTTAGAGTGCGCAGCATTTACAAACTAGCACTACTTGTTACCAGTCTCTACCTCATCATGATATAAACTGAATCTGAAGTATGTTAGTCTTCATTATGAACAAGATACTTTAAAAAAAAAGGTCCATCAGTGAATTCAATAAAACAATGAAGAAATTCCGTAGGGGCAGACACAGATGCAACATGAGAAATATCCAAACGTAGCTTAAGAATGAAGAATGAAGAGTCATTTTGTAGGGGATAAAATTGACTTAGGAATCCTCTCGGCAGTATTGATCCAGTCTCCCGAAGTCTTGCTCTGGACCTGGTTCCAGTGGAAGAAACCCCTGCCTGTATTTAGCTATAGTTCTATATTCCACCTCAAAAGTTTAGTTCTTGTGTCTGCCACCTACCTGGCTTTCCAGAGAGGATGTATTTATGTTACATTTTCCCTATAAGAAGTTCATCTCATAAATAAGGAGAGAACTCTTACGTTTTCTTACATCTTTTAAGGACTAAAACTCTGACCTGGTTAGGATATGGACTGTCCACTAGGTCTCAATATAAATGAAGTTGTGCTTCATTTATAGTGAGTTAGTTATTGTAACTGTTTAACAAGAAGTCTATAAGTAAAATATGCGTTATGACATTTTAAGGCTAAAGACTAAAAATTTCAAACCTGGGTCCAATGACAGGAATTAATAAGACGTCCTGGAGTTTCGGGTGCTCAAGAACTGGAACACACAGTCCTTTAAATTGCTGTTTCATTAAAAAACATAATTATTAAGCAATACTAAAAAAACTTAGTATTTAAGTACTTAATTAGACTGAAAACTATTTTTCCATTCATAATTTATAGCTGTAGAATACAAACCCCAAATGTAATGAAAACAGTTAAGACAGGTTGGGATATAGTGTGTAAGGAGACACTCCATATTAAAAACACTGGTATAAAAGACTAATTAATTTAATAAATTGCGAAATACCAAAGCCGCAAAGGGATTCACTGAGAACTGACTTCAGGGAGTGGGACAGTGTTCTGACACTCACAGCCTTACCACTGGTTTTTGCTTTCTTCTGGAAGAAGGTTGTGTCAAGTTGCCATCAGATCACAGTAACACCACCAGAGAAGCTTGGGTCTAATCTGTGTTATCTTTTTGATGTTTTTAATTATAAACCACTGTTTAACTCTACTTACATATTGCCTGTCTTACTTAATATGCCAGGTTGGTAATACTTTTAATCTTTCTTTTCAGCTTAACTTTGATTGGGTACTGAGAGCTGAGTTGTGCATAGTTGAAAAAAATGACAGCTTGCCATATTAAAACTGTTCCTGGACTTTAAAAAGATGCTGTCTTCTCACCTGAGCCTTCTAAACTATAACCTTAAAACATGCAAAACCATAAATTAGTTTGCATCTGATAAATAAGTATTTTCTCTTAAGAAAGAAAACAATCCCTGTGCATAATTTTGTTAAAAATGTAGTTTCATTTTCTAATATAACCTCAATTCAAAATACAAAAATTTTATGAAAAGCCAGTCTTAATTCAGTTTTCAGCAAAGCATTTTCCCTTGAAGTAAAATATCATACTGCAATACCCATTTCCAGATTTCTACAATCAAGCTAAAATTAGCATAACTCATTACCATTCCAGCCAGCAGAATACTGTCAACTGCCTCTGCATCACAGAAATGTCTTGGCTCCTGTCATGCAATAGTTCCCTGCACACCCACTAGCATTAATAATCTACTTAAAGAACTGGGTCTTTTCAGACAGAGTGAAAACGTAGGGTAGAGTTTCAAAATAATCTACTTCTTAAACATAATGGCTAACATATTATCAGATAAATACATGTTTAATTAAGGTAAGTAAAAATCCAGAAAATCTTATAAAGATTAAAAACAGGTTAAAAAAAGAAAATAGGGCAGCTGCAGGGCATCACTCTGGATCTAGTTTCTAAAACATACAGATTTTCTCACTTTCCTAAACAGTTTGTGCAATAAGACATACAGCCATTCTCCTTTAATTTTAAATTAAAGTGTTCTAAACATGCTGAACACAGCATACTGAACTACAGTTTTTGCCTCTTTCTACCATCTTCTCTAGACTTATGATGCCTTTACAGTATTGACTACAGTAGTACCCCAATCCTATCTAAGGTCTGGATCTGCCATATGAAAAAAGAGTTAGTTGTCTTTTTCCCTCTCCTATTGCCTTTATCCGACGTGTTAGATGAGGAATACTGCTGGACAATTTTCATTTAACATTTAATGCTGACAGGAAATCAATATGATTGCATAATGTTAATACTAGTGGACATGTATTAAGTTAAGGAATAGTTTCCAATAATGAAAAGCTCTCATAATCAGGCAAAAGATGAAATATCCTGTTATTTTTGCTGTAACAAAGAAATTGCACAAACCTTCTGGATCTCTTCAAACAGCATTTTTTTCACATGTTTCACTGAGGCCAAGTGGGTATTAACTCTAACAGTTGTGAAACCTGGTGGATGAGATAGATGACTTAACAGAGATTGATATTTACTCTCCGCCTCCTGTGTACCTAAAGCAGTGATAAGCTGAAAGTGAAAGAAGAGATTTTATATTAAAGAGATTCACACAGCAGCCTCTTGCTCAGTGCAAAAGAAGCACTGAATAAACATTTTGTAGAAATGAAGGAATATGGTTGTGTGGTGTGCAATAGTGAGGAATGTCTATGTCTGGAGGCCTAATTCCAGTGAAAACCTCATAAATTTCTTGAAAAGGACTTGTTGGAAAAACAAGTTGGATTAGCAAGATCATTGTAAGCAGGCTGCAGCAAGTACGAAAAGTAACTGCTAGCGAGGTCTGTGATACTGTACAAAGAACAGTCCTAAGGAGATGGAAGAGTATATTCAAAACTATAAATTAATAACTCTTACCATGATATACAAAAACATCATTTTTGTGTCCTTTGACATTAGGAAATCATAGATTGTCTATAGTATTTTTGGTTCTACACTGGGGTAAAGGAGTATTTCTTGTAAATATTATGTAGTTAATAATTGGTTAATTTTCTCTGTGATCATTCTTCAGTAGGATCCAAAACTGAAGTCTCAGATTTATGCTAAGTTTAGTTTAAGTATTTTTATGTTACTCTGAGCTAACGAGCATAAAGAATAATTTTACATTTTAAATAGAACTATATATAAAAAAATCTGTGTCTAATGTGAACACAATACCTTATTGTAAGGTATTAAAGTCACATAAAATATTAAATCAAAGGACTATTAACAGTGTCCAATTAGTGAATATTTGTTGATGATTAGTAGCATCTATTTCACATACCTCATTATTTCTGAACACTTTGATGAGATACTCTTCAACTTCATGTTGGAAAGAGATTTTGGGGAAAAAAGACATCTTCCTTTAGTTTTTAAAATCTGCTGGTAAAGAACTGAAATAAGCAAAATATTTTCTTAGTGGTTTTTATCATATTATGTAAGTTTATAAATGTAACATAAGGATGTACCACAAACTAAGCTGCAGTTTCTGATTCTTCTGTTTTAATAATGCAATTTTACTGTGCTCAAAATTCCAATTAGCGCTCAAGATATGACTGTAACACTGCTGTTAATTACATTTCAGAACATGTTCATTAACATGTTTAGCATTTCCAATGAGGCTACTGGTATCCTTGCTGTCACATCCTTCCCAGCCATACCTTCCAAGGCTACTGTATCAGTTTGAAATGTGAAGAAAGTGTCACCACCTCTAAATCCTGTCCCATTAAAGTTCCCTTACCTATCCTTGGGGAGAACTTGCTGTTTAGTCCTAGAATTCACTCACAAAGGCTCCTCACAGAATTTAGCTTTGACTCTTCTAAGTCCCATCTTTGAAATTCTTATTCTATTACATCATCATATCTGTTCATTTTTAGAGATAATCTAATTTTTCCCTGTCAGATTTCTTTTTCTCAAGCTTAACTTCTTAGGTTTCCTCCATAGTTCAAATTATCCAAACTTCATAACGGGGGAACGTGTGCATGACTGTGGACAATGATTTGTATTTTTTCCATATATACTTACAAATTAAAGAAGGACTATAAGTAACAGTTTTCTCTTGAGTCTGTGTTTAATTCACAGTAGGAATAATGAAGCATTAATGCCACAGAAGCTCTGCTGATCCTTACTGAAAATCTTCAAACTGTCTAGTGAAAGATTGCATGGTTAAAAGGTACAGGAAATTTCCAGATGTTGCTTTAATTCCTTCTGCAAAGCATGAAGTCCCTATTGTAGCTCAGCCCTGATGCAGCTTCAGCTTTTATTCTTTGTAATTATTCTCTGTTTACTTTTCTCTGTAGGTAATAAAATACAGTTATCTTCCCAAATTGTATCTGCCCACCTCTATATTGCCTGTATTTTGAAAGATTATATACACTTCAGTCTGAAATGAGACTTCCTAAAAAATTAATAGTTTGTTTACACCAACATAAATAGAGGAAAAGTGAGAACACCCCCCCATCAGTGAGGTTTATTCCATCCATAACAAGGAAATTTGAATACTGAAGTACTACATTTTCACTGTATTAAACATACTTGGAGAAAATACCTCAGAAAGTTTGGTACTTGTTCTATTTGAGTAAGAGGCTATTTGTCACTTTTATCATACAAAATCCCTTAAAAATATCTTTTTTTTTGATATTTCAGATTCAGTTGAAGTTGTAATGCTAGAAGAATGTTATGTTTTTTAGATTTAACTTTCAAGCCCAGACAAAGGCAACTTTCAGTTTCATGGGTAGGAGTTTCAAAGCCTTATTCCCAACATTACCAGCCTTTGAAAAAAAAGAAACTGTAACAGAATTGATGAACTTCTTTTTAGAATCTAACAAAAGGACCAAAAGGATTTACCTTGATATTTCTAATATATCTAATAGTACCACAATAGTTCATATTGCAACCGAAATTACTGAAGTTCACTTTTAACATTTCAGACTATGTGACATGTTGTGCTGTCCTGGTTTCAGCTGGGATAGAGTTAACTGTCTTCCTAGTAGCTGGTACAGTGCTGTGTTTTGAGTTCAGTATGTGAAGAATGTTGATAACACTGATGTTTTCAGTTGTTGCTAAGTAGTGTTTAGACTAAAGTCAAGGATTTTTCAGCTTCTCCTGCCCAGCCAGCGAGAAAGCTGGAGGGGCACAAGAAGTTGGCACAGGACACAGCCAGGGCACCTGACCCAAACTGCCCAACAGGGTATTCCATACCATGGGACGTCCCATCTAGTTTAGGAACTGGGAAGTGGGGGCAGGGAATCGCCACTCGGGGACTGGCTGGGTGTCAGTCGGCGGGTGGTGAGCAATTGCACTGCGCATCATTTGTACATTCCAATCCTTTTATTACTACTGTTGTCATTTTATTAGTGTTATCATTATCATTATTAGTTTCTTCTTTTCTGTTCTATTAAACCATTCTTATCTCAACCCACAAGTTTTACTTCTTTTTTCCCGATTTTCTCCCCTATCCCACTGGGTGGGGGGGGAGTGAGTGAGCGGCTGCATGGTGCTTAGTTGCTGGCTGGGGTTAAACCACAACACGTGCCTCTGAGCTGTTGTCCTAGGATGCCTACATTATGGGGGGGAGGGCTGGGAATAATCACCAAACCCCCCTATATGGCTCACATTTGGAAAGTTTTTTCTTCAGAAGCATAATAAACTAGCATCTAAAAAAATCCCATAGTTGTGAATTTTTTAAAGAATTGGAATCCTGAAAAGAATCAAGCAGGCATTTGAAAACTTTATGAGCCCTACAAGTCACTTCAGTATTAACATTATGAATGTATCTTTTTAGGACGTTAAATGGGTATTTTATGACAACAGCAGAATCCCACAGAATGACTGAGGTGATCTCACAATTACAGTTACTTCTTCATGGAAAACCAACCACTGATCTGACAGCATGTTGGCAAAAGGACTTGTTTCTTCCTTGTTTTTAAAATGTGACTGAATGCCACCAAGAAACATGAGCCAGTGGGTGGTCAAAACCAAAACCTCTCTTGGTCAAAAACACTGCATACAAAGGGCAGAACTGCAATAAAGTTCCCTAAATGTGTTATCAAAGGGAAGCTAGTCCCATGATACAAAATAACAAGACAACTATGTCAACAGTGCAGAATCTATGGTTAGAAATTTCATACTAAAATAAAAAAGTTATAATGTGCTAGAAACCACTATCCTTCTAAACAGGATGTCAAGTTTATTACAATGCCTGCAATATAGTGAGAGCCAACAGAAAAACAAGAATAAAAACAAGGAGATGTCACTTCTCCCTGTGTAGACAGAGTAGACGTCACGCAGAAGCAAGATGCCAAATCTGTGCTTTTAACCACAGTTAATGAACATTTTAGGAAGTCAAGGAACACATAACAGGAGAAGTTAAGACTTGACCCTGACTAGTTTATAGGGTCTGCTACGAAACGTTACTGCAGAAGAGCTGCTCTGTCACAGAGCAACTGTAAGGCATGTGGGCTCAACACATGCATTCAAATGACAAATACAAGAAACCCACTATCATTGTGCTTAGTTCAGGGAAAGGAACAACACACAAATGAAAAGCAATTCCTTGGTTAAAAAGAGCAGTTAAAAGAATAAAACCACTGTAAGCAGCCTGGAAATTTTAAAACCACACAACCTGCAGCTTCAGCTCTGTGTGTATGTCTTTTCAGTGCTCATTAATCTCAGAAAAGATACAATGTAGCTTAGAAAGGTTCAGGGAAAGGTGATGACCTATAGATCGGGAATGGCTGTCAAATAAGTAAAGACTGAACAGTTTTCAATCTTCCAGGCTGGAGAACATAGTTGAGGGGGGCAGGATAAAAGCTTATAAATTCAGATGTGGGAGGAAGACAGGCTAGTGAGGAAGACTGTCCAGTGCCTCCTCAAAGACAAGAGTTAGACTTCAAACAGAACTAGCAGGAGGCTGGTTTGAAACTAGAGAGGTATTTTTTTCCACAGACCTGCTGTGCAGTATACCTTGCCCCGGGAAAGGCTTGACGGACTTCAGAAGAGAGCCCTTGAGGGAGCATCAACCCCTGTTCACCACCTCCTTACGGATTTCCCTGTGCCTCTGTCGGGAGCTGGGGGAGAGGGGGAACGCGACGCCGGACCAGGGCTTTGATCTAAGCACGCACGTAAGCACTGCGAGCTGTCACACGTAGCCAGCACCCAGAGATGCCGAGCCAGATTTAATTTTCAATGCCCCTCTGCCCACCCCGTCCCACACGAGGAAAAAGCCAGTCGGCTCGTTGCTGTGGGGAACGGAATTGGGGGCTCCGTCCTTTAACTCCCCCACCCGCCCCGTCGTTCACAACACCAAGTGCGTGGGGGGGACGGGGGTGGGCACAGCTCCTCGCAGCCTCCCTGAGGCCCTGCGCGGCACCTCAAGCCAGGCCCAGGGGCACCCGGGAGGCGGCGCTCCTCAGCGGGACGCTCTGCCACGGCCCCCTCAGCCCCCGCGAACGCCGCAGGAAACACAGGCCTGCCCCGACCCGGGAAGCCACGGGAAGGGCGGAGCACGCAGGGGCCAGGCCGCGTCCCACGCTGCCCCGGCGGCGCGCAGACCCCCGACACGCCGCCATGTCCCCACCTACCGCCGGAGCCAGGCCGGTGCCTCCTCCTCCGGGGCAGCGGCAGGAAGTCCCGCCTCTGCGGCCCCCGGGGATTGGTCGGAGGCCGACGGGGCGGTGCCGGCTCGGCTGTTACTATGGGAGCCAGACACGCCGCAGCAACGTGGCCGCCCGGCCCCCGGCGGGACCGCCCCCCTCCCCCAGGGCACGGGAAGGGCGGCCGCGGGGCCGACCCGGGCCCTGGCCACCCCTGCCGCCGCTTCACGGGCGGCCGCAGGAGTTTCCCCCGCGGGCAGAGCCCGCAGCGCTGGGCGGGGGGTGTCGCAACGTCCTTCTCCCTCCCTGGGGTTTCGAGGTCTGTGTCTCGGAAGGGCCGCCCGCGTGGCTGCCGGCCGCTGCCCGCGGTGGGCGGCGGGTCCCCGCGTTACGGGGCAGCAGCGAGTTTGCGACGCTGCAGTAGCTCAGGCCACAAGTTCAGTACGCAACGCCGGCATGTAAAGAAACTAATTTGGCAAAACGTTGCTGACAGCGGGCTTTTTGTTTTTTCTCGCACGAGCGAGCCTAAATGCTGCCGAGTGGATTAAAATAGCAGGCTTTGTATTTCCAGCCCTCCCGCGCGGAAGTGCCTGCGGATTCCTTCGCTAAGGCGGAGCAGGGTCCGTGCTCTTCCACCGACCCTGCCGGGTGAGGAAAGCGGCGTACCCGCTCAGGAGGTCCCTGTGCAAGAACCCGTAGCCCAGCACTGAGAAGGAGTCCCCTGGTTTCAAAGGCTTTGCTATGCGGGAAAGAACGGAGTGCCCTGAAAACCACAAGCC